TTTATAAATGTAAGTATAGGTATGGTAAAAATGAATGGTGTTATTATCCTATTTTATATTTTTATGGTACATGGGGCAAAGAAGCAAACCTGGTAATAAGTGACTACCACCACCTACGGACACCTACAACTCTAAAGGCACAAGTAGCCTGAGCTCCGAGTGCCCCCCACCTAGATTTAAAGGTTTTCCTCCGGTAATCTCTCACTCGGTGAAAAGCAACGACAAAAACTGAATTTCAAAGTATCGTAGGAAAAATGTATTACGTCTTAACTGCTTTGACTGCCTCGGTGGTGCAGTGGTAGCGTATACCGCTGCTGGGCTGAGGTCTCGGGTTCGATTACCGGGTCGGACCAAATGTTTGTATGATCTGCAAATATTTGTTTCGGAGTTTGGGTGTGTTATATATATATATATATATATAGTATGTATTTACAAAAAAAGTTGAATAGGTATTCTATCAGTCTTGTAGTTTCTTGGCTTTTATAGTACAATCTCTGTTTAGTTAGTAGAAACTATGTACATGGCGTTGTGTGTTAGATCTCCGAAAAGGTTATTATTTAAATTAATTAAAACATTTAGGTTTTACTGTTTTCTGATTTGCTTCTCTGTAAGAAATACTTTTATATGTTAAGTAATAATTACGCCTTGCTTTGTCCTTTCGTAAAATATCTAGTAAGTTATTCTAACGAATATAAATTAACGTTCCTTACAGCTCGACAAGTCAGCAGTGCTTAATGTTGACTGATAGGTTCTGTATCTTTATTTATCAGAGGCTGCGAGACTCGCAGCGAGAATTCTTAATAGAGCGTAGCTAATAAAAGTATTAGGATATTCTGTAAATTGGCGCTGATGTCTTTAATATTCATAGAATTTGAAACGCATTTTTTATTAAAGGGATGTATATTGAGATGAAATAAACAATGTTTTGTAAGTTATTTTATCTTACATGCATGGCATGCAGTGCATGTGCAAAACATGTGCATACAACTGATTTAAACACAGTTTCGTTGGTGTTATTTTATAAGGGCCGATCAAAATTATAATTAAAGTTATGATTTAAGTATACGATTAAATATATCAACCTATTGAAATAAGTATTAAAAATAATTCCTCAAAAGATATATTATATCGTAAGAAATCAATATATCGCACACAAGGTTTAATATAAAAATAGTAGAGAAAATGACCTTAACATATTTCTTTCCTTTTTTTTAATGATTCATCATTAAACTGACTTTTGTTAGGATAAGTAATTAAGTGGCTTATGTTCAAGATAATGTAGGCATTATCTTGAACATAAGCCACTTAATTACTTATCCTAAAATTAAATTATACTACTTATTCTAAAATTAAATTATAGTAGGCAATAATTTAATTTTAGAACAAAGTGTATTACTCAAAACTGGTAATTCAGAGCTTTTGGTAAAAGAGAGGTACCTAACTAAAATTATCGCTTGAAACCTGTCGTAGATTACTTGTCCTATTTTGAGGGTAATATCAATGACTAAAATAAAGAAAAATTAAGAACTGTGTAAAATATAATATAACAATATGTGATACACATTACGAGCTTTTTTTATGATATAGGGAGCAATCGAGCAGACGGGTCATCTGATACATTTCGAAGATGCCGATACTATTTAGCAATTTAATTTCAAATGTTACTCAGTAAAAATCTTTTTCAAAAGGAAACTTAGTTCAATAACTTCGTAAATTTTTAAACGTAAAATGTTCACAGAAGTTTATGCTAAACGTAATGTTTCAACTAGCCTTTTAGTCTCAAGGGATCTTACTTATTTTAAGTTAGACAGGTCACCTCTCAGGGGGTAGAATTTGCTTAATACCAGTTTTATACGAGGCCGTGGCATCATATTTGCGAAGAATGGCTCTCTAAACAGCGCAATTTTCCAAAAATTTGTAAAACGTGTTAAGTTTGATAGAAATTATCTTCATTGGCGAAGTAATTAGTGAATTTACTGTAGTGTATGTGTATATAATGTAGATTAAGAAAGCACTAGGGTTTAGCCTCTTTCGCAACAAAGTTGGAATGGAGTTACTTACCTAAGAATTAAACATAATTCGCTCTTTTAGGTGGTTAAGGTGACTTTGTGTACAGACTTTTGAAGGCATTTACCTTATACCCCACCTCCACTAACACAGATTTAATTATTAGCCTTAGTTATATATCTACAAGTTAATGTTTAATAAATTATGGGCATAAATTTATTTATTAGTAGTGGACCCGACAGACGTTGTCCTGTACACACTTATAAATTAAAAAATAACAAAAAAAAACATATTGTAGTGCCGAATTGTGAATACTTATAACCAATCTCGTATTCACTTGAACACACACAAAAATTCTTCAAAATCGGTCCAGCTGTTTAGGAGGAGTTCAGTCACATACACAGGCCCAGACGAATTATATACTCGTATATAAAGACTATTTTAACATTTAAGGCCATTTAACGCATTGCAAAACGTCAGGCGATTCTTTGCCTGATGGTTTGCAATGCCTTTTAATGGCGTTTTGACCAGGTTGCAATGCGTGGCCGCTAGTTATATAAATAAAAATACTTATTCACCATCTCGGCACCGTTGTCCAACCGCTATGTCCAAGTGGTTGCACCACGGATAAGTAAAGCTATGCAAGGTGCAACTGAGAGAATATTTCTTTTCTGTAATTTTTTTATTTTCACATTACTTCAACAGCCTATAACAGTCCACTGCTGGACATAGGCCTCTCAAACGCTGGGCAGACGGGTTGGTATAGGGTTTTTTTTCAAGTTTTCCTTCTCTTTGTAGTGTTGTCTTGTTGTTTGGTCCCTTAGTCGGCTCTTACGACACCCACGGGATGAATAGGGGTGGTAATGTTTATTATAATTTGCCAATAATATTATCTTTATTAACCAATAATTTTTATGATAAACAATAATAATTTAGCGTAACTTTTCCAAGCATAATCCAATTTCAATGTCTATGTTTATATTTTTTTTTAGAGAAATTGATAACCATTATAAAGCAAATTAATACCTCTACCTCTTCCTCTATATATGTTACATCGTCATAATAAAAATCAAATAAGTGGCAGAATGATCCTAAATTCGTTTATACGTGTGGGATACTGGATCTGGCCACTTACAATGAAAGAATGAAAAAACGATTATGGAATTCTTTGGGAACACTCTTTAATTTGCGAGACTGTCATTTGTTTTTTCATTGTGACGTCCTTTCAAAAATTGTGTGTCGCTATCAAAATGAATTTAACTCGTGACCATTTTCGTTCAATGTTTTTTTATGATATTCGTTGTCTCTTAAGTCAACAAGAGAGTTGCCAGAGACTTTTGACAATTGGCATTTGAATTGGACTTTTGACAATTGGCGCTGAAGCACCATGTCGCAGTTCTGTGTATTCGTGGTTTGGAGAATTAAGACGTGGACGTGATCATCTCCATGACAAGGTACGTGAAGGTCGGCCGGCGACTGCGGTTACAGACTTTAATATTTGAAAAAAGAATTACTTGCCAACAAATTCGTCCTTTGTTAGGCATTGATATGAGCCAAGTGCAAAACATTGGATGACCACTGCCGACAGATGTCTATTGCCAAGAATTGCAAACATAATGGAGGAGCTCGCAATTCAACAACCACGACTGTTTAATCACACTTCCCCGTTGCTTCTCGCAACACAGACCATCGTAAAGCTACAAGAGTTACAGGTGGAAGCCCACTTTTCTACTTTTTTATTTAATTTAGAGTTAATATTTTAAGTTAGATATTTTAAGTGCGAAAAAATACTACACCCGAGAGGCAGTAGAAAACGCTTTCGCTGACTTCATCACATCTCGTCCAACAGACAAATCATTTGAATTTTTTGGACATTGGAACATGATTGGTAGGTAAATGTTGTTGTTACATCAGAAATCAGTACATTGAGAAATATTTTTATACCAGCGCCATCTCTAGAAAATTAGCAACACTTGGTTGTACCTAAACATTGACGAAGTACACAAGTAAAATTATTAATGTTCATTAATTAAATGGCCCGTAAGAAACAATGCAATTAGTATGCAAGCTAATAATAGATGTCGTTGCAAACATTTACAAAACATAACATTTTATTTTACACACAAAACAGAAATCGTTCTGATGAGTTTTATAGTAAAAGCTTTTAATATAGATTTGTATAAATGTTAATAATAAATAATGTACATATTTACAAAACTTTTTCAAAAGCAGGACAGTGGATTTCTGTTTCAAATTATAGACTACGGGTGTGTCATGTCATGTCCCGTCTATATACGTACTTATTTTCTAGACTGTACACGACTTACAATATTTTAATAATAATCCGTTATAGTTCTAAAATTTTACCTTCTATCTTTATTTTGGAGAGTATGGAAACCGTCTCTGTCGATTTTCGAACCGCGCCACGGAAAACCCCGGTTGGGTGTTTCAGTGGCGCGGTGTGGAAATCGAACCAACTAAGCTCACGCACAAATATGTTTATAGTATCCTACTTCAAGTTGGTTTTTGTAATGAAATCTACGTAAAATAAAAATACTAATTATTTTCGAATTCAAATATGGTTAACAGTAAACTGGAAAAGTAGGTTCTTCACATTTCTCTGTATTTCAGGGCTTTATAAAAACAAATTTACATTAAGAAAACGAATTTATTTTTTTAAATGGACTAAATAATTTCTATGTACAAATAAATACTTTATTTTCAATATACAGATTTTATCGGGATATAACATTCAGTTAACACTTAAATGCACACAAATGAAACCTTAATACATTACTACTTACATAATTTACATCTTACAACTATATAAGATTCTACATATTTATTGCATTATGTACAACCAGATTTAGGCAAATAACCATTTATAAATAACAAACGGCTTTAGACTTAGTACAATGGAAAAATGGATCAAATGCATTTATTAATAAAAAACAGTAGGTACATTAAATGTTACAATAAATGGGTTATTTAATTTATCTATTTGATCGGAGTGCATTTATAGAAAAGGTGTCGAGGCTCAAAGCAGCAGCATCTGCAATGAGAGGAAGTCTATACATATTTAATTTTACTGAAATTATTACTTTAAAACAAAGAGAGAATAAAATATCATTTTAAAAATATAGTTTAAAGTAGCAGCTTTCAAAATATAAGCAGAAATGTTTTCAATTAAACTTTTGTAATTTATTGTTTTAATTTGCGAGACTATCATTGAAACTATCATATCAAAGCAGTGGGTTGTAGGGACATTCAAGTGAAAAGTGAAGAAAAAACAATAAACGGTGTTTAGTTTGTGCCAGAACTAAAAGTGAATTTGTTTTCAATGAGTGCGGCTTTGGACAAAGGATATAAAATGTTGTTTACAGCAAAAAGATGTACATTAAAAAAAATTAAAGGTGTACATGTTATTGCGAAGCGCATTAAGGTAAAGCAACATAAACTTCCTTTTCTTAGAAGTGACTACCGAGCGACAGAACCTGGAGTAAATAATTCACGTGGATATCGGAGGTCCTGTCGAAGAAGTTTCACTTGGTGGATCGGAATGGAATGGAATGGAATGATGATTAAATTTAAAAAAAAAACTGTCTTAAACAATTTATTAAACAAACTGAAGTAAACCCTAGCCACAGAATAAAATATACAAGAAGTGTCAATGCTAAAGAATTTGTTGGAACAGAGATGCAAAACAACAAACAACAAAATTTATTTAATGATCATGGTATTTAGCATTAAAAAAGTGTTGCCTGCACATCATAACAAAATGTGTGTAGAAAGAAAGATGCGTACAGTAGTCGAAACGGGCTAGAATTATGCTTTTAGAAAATTGCTCTAAGAGAGACTTGTGGGTTGGAGCATTAAACACAGCAGTTTTTATAATAAATAGAACCGGTCCAAGTCGTATAGAAAAAGAACACCATTTGAACTCTAGTTTGGACAAGAATATGATGTAAACAATCTAACACGTTTCGGAGCACAAGTTTTCGTTCATGATCCTGATCAAAAGCTGTTAAAAGCAAAGCTAAATTGGGATACGGAGAAAATACCAAACGATATCGAGTTAAATTACCTGATAAAATTAAGTAGAAATAAAAAGAGACTGAGAGGAGTGCCTGATAAACAAAACCCTGAAAAGGAAGACAGAATTACTTACTGGATTTGACGAAGATGGAGTTTCTCAAGAAGAAAATTATGAAGAGGGAAACCCCGAAAAAACACAACTTTGCAAGTGCAAGTGATCAAAAGTCCGTGCAATCATACTACAACGAATTACTAATAGAAATACAGAACAGTTAATAGATGTACGAGAAGATCTTGTAAATGAGAGTTTAGAAGAACAAGATACAGCAACGACAGACGGAAGACCAAAAAGGAAAACTGTTTAACCGAAATGGCTGGAAGATTCGTATGTAAACAGAGACTCTGATGAAAACGACTAAAGTTTCACTTCCTACAGTTGCGATGATCCAATTATTTATGAGGATGCGATGAAAAGACATGATAAATGCATGTGGGTAGAAGCCCTTAAGAAAGAACTGAGGTTTAGAGGAAAACAACACTTTGAGAAAAAGTAAAAGAAGTTCCAGATGGAGAAAATCTTGTGAGCAGCAAAGTTAAGGAAATGAAAAGAAAAACTATTTACAAAGCTCGCTTAGTAGCTCAAGGCTTTGGAAAGAAAAACTGTGATGATCATACATATGCACCAGTTGCAAAGCTGACTACTTTCAGGACATTGATGGCAGTAGCCAATCAGAAAGGTAAACCAGTTTACCAGATGGATATCACACAAGCTTTTTTTTATAGAGAAATCAAAGAGACTGTTTTCATGAAGTTACTTGATATTACAATTTATAATCTAAGCTAAGTTAAATTTATGGTTTAAAAAATCTAAATTTAATGACTTCATGTTGAAAGAAAGGTCTCAAATTATCAGTGCTTCTATTTTAAAGGGGATAAAAATGAAACTATCTATGTCTTACTATTTGATAGATGATTTGCCATTTTCAAATGAAAGATTTCTATCAAGTTGCTACTCAGGAATAAATATTAATCAAAAGCCTAAAAACAATGTTACTAAAATAAATCAGAAAAAGTGTTTACAAAAATTGCTTGATAAATATCAAATTGCAAAGCAGTAGCTACACAGTATGGAGGAGTTGGAAATATAAAAAATCCACTTCCCCGTTTTGTTTGTATCCTTTTTCCCATTTTTTTAAAGTCCCCCACAAAAGAGAACTCATTCCTAGTGTATGAGTTATCTTTTAAAACAACTATCAAAACTATAGATAATCAATTGTACATATATACTACAACATATTCGTAGATAGATATGAATTTTGTGTTTGTACGCCCACCATGTAGCCTTTTTTTAGTCTGCAATTATATTTTTCATCATCTCTTACAAATCGAGATGTTGCAAGTGGCTCGTACACAGGCATAGCAAAGGTTTCTGGAATTCCTTCATTAGCACCTCAGTCCCTTAGACACAGACAATGCATAATTACAGATTCTTATATATTTCTTATACATATATTTAAAACATGTAAATTAGAACAATTGAATTGCAGTCCTGGGTAGGTTATTTACATATTTTTTTACACAATAAGTATTACATACATTTTATTTCTGTTGGTTTCCCAATTCTTGTTTCCTGTGAAATGGGAATGTTTGCTTGTACCTCGCTACTCCAAGACAGATGAAGCCTAAAATAAAACAATGAAATCATGTGAATAACAAGAAAATACATTTCTGTACATTCAAGTTACGTTTTAAAAGAGGCCTTATAGAGACAGATAGAACTTAATCTTTATCATACTAATTGTAGGTACAGTCTGGTACAACAGAAGAAACAGAACATTGTAGTTAAATATTAATGCATTTCTATTATTTTTCAGATTGACAATATGGCAACATCAGAGAGAGAACTGACATTGTAGGTTCTGACACCTGTAAGAAAATACCAAAAGTGCAAATATAATAAATAATAAGTAGCGCCATCTATTTTCAAACGAAGCAGAGCTTTTATTATGAAAGCTAGATTGACTGATTGAATACTTATATACTTTTTTGTAAATACATACCCAGAAACAAATTTTTGCAGATCACACAAACATTTTGTCTGAACTGGTAATCGAAACAGACCTCAGCACAGCAGTTACATAAGCTACCACTGCATTATAGAGGCAGTATATATTGAGTCTATTCAAACAGTTCTTTTATATTTATAGAGATAGGGAATATGCGACTCCTTTTTTGGGATTTTTTAACCATACTTAGACAGTTTAAAAAAAAATGAGTCATGAAACATTTTATCAATTAATCTGTGAAAACAAAGAGCCTTATTACTTTTTTATTTAAGTTGTGATTTGAAAACAGAGCAGCACATATTGACTAACCTTGTGCATTTAATAAATACCAACATTGTTGGTTGTTTATAAATAAATCTTAATACTCATCTGCGCATTCTCAGTTAGCATTAGACAATAATGGTCATATCAAATAATTCTCTCAGTTTCTATCTGATGCTACAGTAACTATTCATTAACATTTTTGTTAGATAACAGCAGGTATTTAAGTTTATATGAGGCAATAAACTCTTAACATTTTCTTCTGTTGAATCTTAAAAATCGACTTTTCAACAATGGTCTTTAAATTAAAGATATTTTTATATAATATTGCTTTTAAAGCATACTTATTTATAGAAAAACGAACTTTGTAATAAAACCTTGGTTAGATGAAATAGTGTTACAACTATATCATTATTGGTACTCACCAAATGACAAAAAAGAGACGAAATATTTGCCTAAAGTTGTTTTGTTTTTAGTAGCATTGATACCAAGATAACCTCCAATTCCGATTAAACCAGCGCCGCCGACAGCTCTGCAAGCAAAGCAATCCGGAGGCTTACTTTCTGCTGTTGTACTCATAGCTTCACTGTTGTATAACTTCATGGGGATGCAGTATTAATGTATTGTTTTACTGAAAACAATGTATTATCTAAGATCGCAAATGTTTGACAAATTCAAGGGCAATGACAATTGACAAATGATCGTGACAACTCTAAATGTCAAAACAAATCTAGTATTAGAGATGGCGATTCAAATCGTAAACAGATGTATCGATTCCCAAAAAAAAACGAGATTTGATGAATCAATTTCTCAATAAAAAAAATAAAGTCTGCATTTAGAATGTCAAAAAACTAATAAATACATTACAAGGAAAACAGGAAAGGTACCATATTACCTCCTCTATACTAATATTATAAAGCTGAAGAGTTTAATTGTTTGTTTGATTGAACACTACAATCTCAGGAACTACTAAACAGAACATTATTTAAAAAAAAACTGCATTCGAAACTGAACCTCACCCCGGTCGCCAATCGAATGAAAATCGAATGTCAGTTTTCTAGGTTGCAATATTTATTTATTTACACATCATGCACATTTGGTGCATTGGCCGTCTTAATGCCTAAGGATAAAAAGCTACAATTCGAAAAAAAAAAGATTTTTTTTTTTAAACAGGTTTTCTAGGCATCAGTTATGTACATAAAATACCTTGGCCTCACCCTAGACAGCCGCTGGAGCTTCGGGGAGCATTTCGAGCGGGTGATCCCCCGAGTTCGTGGGGTGGCGGGCTCCCTACAGAGGCTGTTGCCTAACCTATGGGGTCCGCGGGAGGAAGTTCGCCGCCTCTATTGTGCGGTGATACGATCCATGGCCCTCTACGGAGCGCCGATATGGGCCAAGCGCCTATCGGCCTCCTCCCGCTGCCGAGCTAAGCTCAATCAAGCGCAGCGGATAGCGGCCATTCGGATCGTACGAGGGTACCGCACTATTTCGTCGGAGGCGACGACAGTCCTGGCACGTTTCCCGCCCTTTGATATCCTGGCGGATATGGACGCGAGGGTCTATGACCAGACTCGCGCGATCCGCTGGGGTGAGAGCGGGGAAGACCAGGACGCGCTCGAAATGCCGCGGAACGCTCACCAACATGCACTGGTGCAGTGGCGCGTGCGGCTGGAACAGGCACAGAATGCACGCCAACGCGCTGTCAGCGCTGTTCTGTCTAACCTCGAAGCCTGGGTAGGTAGTCACCTATCGACTGACGCAGGTACTCACTGGGCATGGTTGCTTCGGTGAGTACCTGAATCGTATCGGACGCGAGGAGACGGCACATTGCCAGCACTGCGCAGCCGACTGGGACTCCGCCCAGCACACGCTGGAAGACTGCCCCGCGTGGGCGTCTGAACGCGAAGTCCTGGTCGGCCAAATCGGAAGAGACCTGTCCCCGCCAGCAATCATTGCTGCCATGCTGGCGGGTGAGGAGGGATGGGGCGCAGTGGTCTCTTTCTGTGAAGCTGTAATGCTCCAGAAAGAGACCGCTGAACGGGATCGGGAGAGGGCCGATCCCGAGCGTAGAGGACGTCGGCGACCATACCAGCCGTCGACGGGGCCGCGGGCCGCCAGAGAGTGGGGACCTCTGGTCGCTGATTGAATGTTGCGGTAGGGGATAGGATGGCGGCCTGATTGCATTAAGACGAAATTGGGCCGCCACGTCGCGATTGAGGGGGGAAGTGATTTTCCCCTGGGATAGGGCCTGACTAGGCATGGTGTTAATTTGGGGAGGACCTGAAATAACATGGTCCGGGTCCTCCCAGAGTAGGGCACCTGAGGCCGGCCGTCGGGGTGGTTTTTAGTGGAATCACCACATACTCCTAGCTCCTAGCCCCGAGGAGCAGGAGATCCGAAGGGATTTTCCACCCTGTCAACAAAAAAAAAAGGCATCAGTTATGTATACAAATTGTCTTTTAGACTCTGTTTTGTAAGTTCAAGTGAATAATTTACTTTCATGATACCATCTCATTTTTAAATATGTATAAATAAATAATGCCAGTACTTAATAAAAGGGAGTGATGAACTGGTATTGATGATAAAATAATCCACAGAGTGTATTATTTTTATTTTATTTGCATTCTAATTATTGCCATCCATTTCTCAGACACGGTGTGCTGCTAGATATACTGTAAAACTATTACTAGGCAAATAAGAAAATACAAAAAATAATTCTTTTGTATGAAAGTTTCTAGTGCTGCGAGCTTGCATGGAAGTGAATGCTAATAATTTGAAAAAAAGCGTTGGGTGCCAGTTGTCAATAGTAAAAAGTACCCCACGCTTTTTTTCAAATTTATTTTCTATTTTTAGTTTGGTTTTCTATAGAAAGCGTGTTTTTTAGTGTTCACCATCTGATGTTTGAACAAACAACGGTATGCATTGAGTTAAAACAACACTAGAGAAGCAAACCTCATTATCACACGTTGAAAAAAGTGTAACCACTTTTGAACTTTGACGACGTAGCTTTGATACCACGAAACATTAGAAAGTAAACATATTTATGTCTCATTTACACGCGAGACAAGAACAATACCATCGCTTGGATTAGACAAAGACAAAGACATAACTTTACGATGGTGGGCCAGTGTTGACTACCGTATGAAATTTTACCCATAACAACCAAGAAACATTTTTTTTAAAACATTTTTGTAATAAAATAAATTAATTTAAATATTTGAAATAATATATTTCGAATTGAATGGAATAGGTATAAATAATAAAATAACTAGAAATATTTGGTTAAAAGGGTTTATATTCAGTGTAAAATCAAACTCCGCTATGAAGCATCAGTTTTGTATACAATTGTCTTTTAGACTCTTTTTTTATAAGTTTGTGTGAATATTTTACTTTCATGATAAGTACAATCTTATTTTTAGCTATGTATAAATAATGGCATTTAATAGTAGAAGTGAATGATCAACTTGTACTGATAATAAATAATCCCCAGGGTGTATTGCAAATTCTTTTAATATTTTAAAATACAAATAAAAAAAAAATATATATATATTTTTTTTGTTTTTTTTATATATATTTTTTTATATTTATTTACTTTTTATTTTATATATATATATTTTTTTGTACAATTGTTATTTATATTTGATAATTAATTAAGAAAAATGAATGAATGAATTAATTAATTCTTTTATACAAAAGTCTCCAGCACTACGAGCTTGGCAGAAGGTGAACGTTCAACGGGTCCCTAAAAAAAGTGATCGATTCAGCCCTAACAACTACCGTTCTTCCTATATTTTATTATTATTGACAAAATGTTTAAAAACAGTATAAAGCATATTATTTCATAAATTATAAATTCTCCCACTAATGTGGGAAAACAAAAATGATTTTTTAATGGTAACACTGATTCTAAATTACAATTATCAATATTTTATTTCAATTATAGCCTTATTTACGATATTATCAATACAAAAACCATAAACTTACACATGATAAGTAATTCCGCATGATTTATTATGGTTTTGTGACCTTGAATTGCATTCTTTCACTACGCATTTACCCATTTTGGCGATTGTTACTGTCATGTGTCGCTATGTTCAACTCGGTTGACGCCACATTGAACACTGAATTGACGTTTGCTACGCATATGCCTGTGGACAGATGTGCAGTAGCAACGATTTTAGGCGGTAATTACTCATCTATGTAAGTATTATATCAATGACGGTAGGTAATTAATAAAAATACTTAGTTTTCTTTTTCTACCTTCTACTAATGTACCTTAAGTTATATTAACTTTTCCCTACTACCCCCAGTACGAAGTTCTTAAGGTAGGTACATCGAACTAGGGGTAGATTGGTACAAGTCTATTTTTAGGGTTCCGTACCTCAAAAGGTAAAAAAGGAACCCTTACAAGATCACTTTCTTGTCCGTCTGTCCGTGTGTCACCATATAGGTGCCATATAGGTTTTCGACTTAAAACCTATAGGGTACTTCCGGTTGACCTAACTTTTTTTTGGTTAAAAGCAAGGTCTTACAGCACAAGTAAACAGAAAATTCTCAAAAATAAAAAAAGTTGAAAATTAAGGTAAATTTCGGTACTTACAAATTTTCTAATCTACGTAAATCTGGGTAGGTACGGAACCCTCGACGCACGAGTTCGACTCGTACCTGACGGGTTTTTTAATTGTTAAATAAAATTGCTAAAATAAGTATATGCTTCATTTTATACCCTCCTATATCTTTTTAATGTACTTACCGTAGTCGCGTAGGTACATATAACATATTCTAGTTTGTCTTATTGTTAGTCGTCTTAGTAGTTAAAACGAAAAAAATATTAAAGACTATGAAGGGTCTCTTAATCTACATTATTATTGTAACACATATCACTTACATATGTTTCGAGTACCTAAGCATCAACTTTTGGCGCCATCGGCCATACAATCAGTATCGTTACCACCGGTATCGATATCGTATCGACGATAATCACTTACGATCAGGGCTTCAATTCTACTATTTTATTATTGTATATCGATGGAATATCGTCGGAACAGTTTTACACTTTTCCTATTCTACTAACTATGTAAGACCAATGTTCTCCCGATGACTTGTTACTGATACAAATGTCGTGGATGTCTTTGTAACAGTTTGGTAAACGGTACATTTTAAATTTGTATGAAAATGATATATTTAATTTTTCAGGTATGGCATTGTTGTTGATATCATCATTGATGACTTTATGTTTGATTGAATTTATGTTAGTAGAATACTGATATTTTGACCGATGTCAATGGCGTCTTAATGGCATCTCAATAGCGTGTCAATGGAATGACAGTAGTTGGCGTTAACATGAAATAGCATAGTTGAGGCCCAGGCTGATGGTTAGCGACTTCCGTCGTCAATGGACAACTACAACTCATAGACACACAAGTGCGTTACCGCCTATTGTGTGCCGTCTAGCACCGAGCGAGAAGGTGCCTACGGTGACCACACTCACTCAGTATCGCAAAGTAAAGGAAAGAAAACATTACTTAACAACGGTCTTCGGTAAGGCCATGCAAGGTGTCATTCCGGGCAACTGCTCACTCAGCTCCATATATACCGAGGCATGGTTCTTAATGGATACCTATTATGTTTGAACGTATAAACACTCATTAAGAGGAAAATACGTCACTCTATATAATTAATATACTACGCAATCTGACTGTAGTAATTAATTCAATGTAATTTATTAATAAATTAAATGGTTAAAACCACAGGGAATCACCCTTATCTATTTCACAATAAGGTCACCTTAAATTGGAGTTGTATTGTGAGTAATCATCCAAGAATGGGAGAATCCCGCGATGGTTTGTGCAAGTCGATTCAATGTCACTTAGATTTATCTCGAACTGTGACTTCTAAAGATAATGAAAGTGCTTATTCCTCATCTCTGAATACACTACTAGCTGTAATATCGTCATCATTGTTGTGTGAGTTGATAAATTTACAAACAAAAATAAAATAAAACACATACTTACCTTAAAGACATCGGCAGTTAATACGTTAGCCGGCCGGGTAATTTATATCAGTAAGTACATCCGTACTCTAGTGCATTTAAGTTACGTAGCTACCTAAATGTTTCCCGTTTACGGAGCTATTTTGGCAGCATTTTTGCTAATATGGTTACAGCTAAGTCAATAAAAAATCGTGTAACGATTAATCTGACAACAGATCCTTTATTTAGTTTTGATATCTGATTCTATTATTATAAGTAATTTGTCATTAATTTATCAGAGTTAACACCCGTTAAAAAATCAATGTGATCAAAACGAATATTAATCTACACATTTAAAATTACTTGCTCTGACTGACTGATTCATCAATCAGAGCCTAACCCGCTGGGGTTACAAACTTGAAATTCTGGCAGTTAATGCTTTTTATGTTGTAAGCACCCACTAAGGAAGAAAATTGATCCCTAATGGGGGTAGAACAAGGGATGAACGGTTACATGGAAGTTCGAAACAATCAAAGTTAGAATCTTAATATCTTAGATGTTAACTGCACGGTCGCCACGCCGTTTACTACTACGCTGAGTGTTGTGGGTTCGATTGCCACACGAGACGTCACTTTGTGTGATCCACAAATTGTTGTTTCGTGTATGTTTGTAAAGTCCCCTGCGACACAGGATATATTCCTAATGCGGGTGTTGTGGTTAAACACATAAATAAAGAAACCGCGGGGAAAAGCTTAAAGTCTAATATTATATTTCTTTATTTCAATGTTAAGTTCAGTACCTACGTTACCTATACTTTGCCACATGCCTATGATTAATCTCATAATTCTAAACACGAAAATAAAATTTGAGCAACTTGCACAAGCATTTAGGTCCAATGGCGGCTTTAGCCGTTGCGAGGCCCCGGGCTTGTAGATCATTGCGAGGCCCTTAGCTCTTTGGAATTAGTTTCGATCATGATACTTGGAACAAAAAATTCAGTGCAACATATACGCGCAGCGCGAACATTAAAGGCACGAGCCGACGACAATTGTCATTGGAAGCCTGTCAAAATGAATCGAGAGCGAGTCGTGTGATGTTAGTTTTATAATGCGAGATTTAAATAAACATTTCTCTACTTGGGTTGGAGCGCGAGTTTGCGAGGCCCATACATGAGCGAGGCCCTGGGCGGTCGCCCCGCTCGCCAACCCCAAAGGCCGCCCCTGTTTAGGTCAACGAACTTTACTGTACTTCGTCGCTTACTTCGAGAGACGGATATGGCCTCGCTAGACTTCCACCCTCCCCGAGAAGTTCTCGGTGCTTTGTGCTACAAATTATAAATACAATGTATCCTGTTTGAAGTGTGAGTGAACATTGTTAAGGGTAAACGTATGCTGTGAGGCAGACGACGCAGGCCGGTGCAGTTTAGTAATACATTTAGTTTAAAAACTACTTAACTAGTTATATAATGTTTAACTACTAAAGAAAGTTGTGTTCGAAAACTAAATAAATACATACATAGAATACAATAAAGAGTTGCGTAAAAAATCTGCTCTGTGCTGTGTCAGTCCGTCGTACCTCTATATCCTAGCACACGGATATCTTAAATCTTCGCACATACCAACACAAAGCCCTTTGTATTCGAGTGTCACACAATAAAATAACGTGGCTGAAGCAACTGGGTCAAGGAGTGAAAGACAATACGATGCAGTTAGCTCTCTACAGCTACCTTATAAATATTTTAAGTACAAATAAAACATTTGTGTTTACTTGTAAAGTGGCATTCTATTAGAATATATTTTTCATGATCACGATAATTAAAAGAATATTATAAAAAGTAGAGGACCTCAGTCTTGAAAACAACGTAGGTTAGTTATTGTGAGTCCTAATTAGCCACCTTCTAAACCTGGACAAACCATTTCTTAATTTTCTACCATTAAAGGTTGTATAAAACCACGGCTTCACAGAAAACGGCTTTTAAGAATTTGTTTCGTTGCCTTTGACGCAGTTTGGGCTCCGATAACCTCACTTACTCGAAGTGAGGTTACCGGAACCCAATCTGCCTCTCTTCTTGATTCTGGGGCGGTGAGACTCAAAGTGACTCTTAAGTTGCAGGTATCAATGAAAGGAGGTAGCCACTTACTATCAGATGATCTATCCGCTCGCTGGTTTCCCTATGCCATAGTAAAAAGAAATGAATAAAACAACTGTCAAAAAAGTATCACTGCTCTATCATTACTTCATTAGTACTTTAACTGAAGTTATCATATACATATATTATTTATAAGTAAGTACACGAGCATAAATAAAAATTCGCTGCTAATAACGAATGAATATCGACAAACCCTTTGAATCTTTTGCAAGTATCTTGTCCAAATTATATGCTCAAATGAAAATAGTGGGTTAAAAATTTCTAAAAACACTACATGATGATGCAGAATATACGTTCACAATCCTAGGCAAATACGTCTTTACTCATATTTATTTTATTAGTCTGTGATAATGAATGTAACGTAATGTGCACAGGGAGTCACCCTTATCTATGTAACGATAGCGTCATCTTGAATCAGCACTGTGTTCTTAGTTGTCAATTCAAAATTCTGACTAGGTGAATCCCGCTGTGAGCTCTGGGAAGTCACTGTTTGTCAGTAAGTTTTAATTTAAATGGTGATCAAACTAGCCAGTCTAAAAGTTTTTAGTTGATCCAACTATTTTACTTCATTTGACATACATTACGTAGGTACAGGACTGACCTGTTTATGATAAGTAGATGGTTCAATTCCCACCTAGGACTAATTATTGTTTAATGAGCACCATGACTCATTCTGCACCTAAAGCATGTGTGTATTTAAAGAAATATTGAAGTATGTTTATCAGCGATCTCATTGCGATGGCACAAAATCTGTTTAATTTAGGATCAAACGTGTGTAAGACATATCAAGTAATTAGTTTTGATATTATAGGTATAACTTTGAAAACACGGCTCACATAATTTTAAATTACCTTTACTGTATTGTAGGTTGTAATAAGCTGTATTCTATATTAGTTAATTTTCCGCCCCTAGGGATGGTATTTTTCCTATATAACGGTAAACGATAGGTAAATAACGGAGTTCTGAGTAAAAAACATGAACAAAATAAAATCAAATTGATAACCTCTTTTTTTTAAAGTCCATTAAAATTTCTCAATTTCTACTTCGATGGCAATTCATACACGCACACGTCGCATATACAAATAAGAGAATTAATTCAATAACATTACAACAAAATTAATATACTTCATTAACTACGTCGTATCTGAGCGTCAGTTGTACAGTCAATGAGAAATATAAGAGAATCAGAGAAAGGACCTTCAATTTTCGCTTTCAGTAGTTAATAATCATTTAGGAATTGAGTAGGAATTGAGTTGAATACAAACACACTCTTTTTGTTTTCATTTAGGCACAGGCTTTTACAGTTCATCGCCATTTCTGTAATGAATACACATTTAATCTTCTGTACTTTATTTACGTGTGTATATATAATTTATTCCCAAGTGCTGTGGTACTTTAGTGTTACTAAATAGAATTTCGGAAACATGTTTTTTTACCTTCGTTCAACATTTATTGTTATTAATAATGTAATAAATCCCCGCAGACTTTGGACCTTTACACAAAGACTTTTTATTTTAAACAAACAAGTTTATTCTAATAGTTTTTTTTATCACTTTTTACTTTGATTGTTCTGACACTTTGAACTGCTCATGCCGTTATCTGGGAGAGCGCAGCTGTAATCTTTACAATATTATTATTAACAACTTTTTCTTTCAAAGT